TATTATAATATTATAGAACTTATATGATCTTATCAACAAGTAAAATTGTGTCATCTGTTAATAACATAAAGATTCAGAACCTAAAAACTGTTTTTGTTATTAAAAGTACTAAAGGTAATTTCAATTAGACAAACTATGTCTTTAAGAACAGTTTAGAATCTGTCATGAAATATTACAATTGGTTAAGAAGAGACACCAAGATTACATACGGAAAATTGGATATACCAATCAGCCCAACCATAACGAACATTGAAGCCAATATGGAACATTTATTCAATATACTAGTGGCATTAAGGCCAAGGTGCCAAGCAGTGTTACGAGATTCGACCTATAATTTCAACTAGGTTCATGTCAGTAGTGCCAATAACAAATACACTAATATGGCATCAAACAAGACCAGAGAATAATCCAGAAAATTCTTACGTATTGGATAATTTTTCTAACCTAATTTTCTAACCTAACCTAACTTAACTTCACCATGCAAACCCGAATCAAACTGTAGAATCTATAGCAGTACCTAGAGCACCTGTCACTTCAGCCTGTATACAGACAGAATCATTTCTATGGTGAACAGTTCGTACAAATGACATCAACTAGTAATAAACAGGAGACATTATGCACAGAGCATCGAAAATTTGCAGTGGGTTAATTGCAACAAGAACACTAACTGGATTGGACTACAATACATAGATAATTGCACATTTAACATCGCATAATACGATTCATTACAAACATCTGGCAACAATGAACAACATTGGCTACGTCGTGGAGACATAATTCTGAGGCAAGAATAACATCGAAACACCATTGGACACTTGAGCAACCGGCAGCCGATCGGCATCCAGGAAGGCAGCAAGGTGCATCATAGACGGATTTAAACCTTCCTGGACGAAAAAGTTGGTGCTACCAGATCTGTTCAACGGAGGCCTGCGCAGCAAGTACTGGTCAGGAAAAACCAGTAACAAAAATCTAAACATAAAAATCTTACTTCAATGAAAATAAGTGTACAACAAAACATAATTTTGTATATTGGTTTTTTTCGGAAACTAGTCGATAATATTTGTGTTTGTACCCTAATTTTTATAAAGGATATTAAGATGATCTGTTGATAGAAAATCAATGTATATATTAAATATAACTTGTATCTTAGAAATACTATGTACAATGTTTATCTAACACCTTGTTCTCTCAGATGAATGTTTGTTGAAGTGATAAAAAAATATTCGATATTGCACATTGTCTGATTGTTTAAAAAATATAAAGTATGTTTAATTTATAAAAGCATTTATAAAAATATTTAATTATCATTAC